TAGGGAAAGATACATGGTGAGAGATCATCTGTCTTATACGAATGATTCAGAGGTATTTCAGGACATAACTTAGAGCTTTTGACAAAGAAATCAGTCAGTCTGAATTTAGTTCTGCCCAAAGTGACAGCTGGACCACTGGGATTCCTGCTCGAGTAGGCACTGCCTTCGTGTCCTGGAGGAATTCTGATGACTTAGTGTGCTTGGAGTCCTCTGATATTGAGTGTCCTGCACACATACTGTTATTATGGTCTGTGGTTTAAAACCCATAAAGTGGCTCTTGATGCCTTAAATGCTAAACTGACTTTTTGGCAAGCAAGTATGCATATGATCCTCCTTGTGAGATTGTTTTCCCTTCTATAGTTCGTGTTTTATTGCTGGGCTCACACTTCAGCAATTATCGTGTCTTCAGGAGTTCTGAGAGGCACCGTCCTCTGTGTTTATACCTGCCCTCTGAGACTCCACAGAGTACACCTGGAGCATGGTGTGGTACATTTTGGCAAATGCTCAGGGCAAGCACCTCAGAGAAGATTCTAAAATTGTGAAACGATTCTAAAAATCGTTTTTATTAATGCTAGTATCATAAATGCAATGGGGCTAGGGTGGGGAGGGGAGAGAGAGACAGGATGGGTGGACATGACCAGCACCATTCTAAAGGGAATTCAAAATAAAACAACAACAAAAGAGAGGGATGGAAAGGATGGATTAAGGCCTATGGCACCAGGCATTACTATAGCAGTGATCTTCAACCAAGCTCCCAAGTCTATCTCATACCATATAACATAGCAATGAAATGCTAAGTCAGATCTGAAACAATATAGCTGCATATTAAAGTACCGTTTACATATAATCTTTGGAGAAGAAGTAAAAGTAAAATCTAACTTATGCAAAAAAAAAAAAAATCATTAAATTCAAGGAACAATATCTTTCTTGTTTGTAGTCTAAAAGCACAGAGAAGTAACGTGTGTAAGCATTGATGGGCTGAAAGAGAGAATCTTTAGTATGACTGTCTGGAACAGCAGTGAAGTGCAGTAGGCTGCTGCTTTTCCCTGCAAAACAACATTTTAAAAACTGATCTGAAAGTGTTTGTTTCATCATTAAACAAGAGAGAACCCTGCTTTGTAGTTGCCCAGTTCAGTAATAATCTTAATTTAAAACTTTAAAAAGCAGAGATATTGTTGTTACTGTTTTCCTTTGGTAGGGTTTAATGCATTTTGGAATTCCCACCTATAGGCTCCATGCTCACAGGTCCATTAGGAAGGATTACTAATTTTGTTAATACAAAGCATAACACATCTGTGAAATAGCATTTAAAAAATAAGAGGGTTAGATGGAGTTGTGCATGGTGCCTTTTGAAGTAATGGGAATTTCTTTTCTTCCCCCCCAAATATCTTCTACTTAGTTCAAAAGTTATTATCAAACAGGTCTTAACAATAACAACAATAAAACTTTGAAAATGAAGTACGAGAATGAATTACAATATAAAATTTCCTTCAGATAAGAAATCTGAGCAGATAGCTACAGGGCATGTATCTTAAGGAAAGAGTCCTGAATAAAGTTAGGGCTTCCCTGCTCAAGGGAAGCAAATGACACGCAGAACTCACCTGCCATTCCCTCAGCTTATGAGAATTGCATACACCTTCTACTTTGTTCTTCAAGGATGTCCAAGTCACTTTAATCATAAAAAGAAAAAACCCAGCAATCTTTTCGTGCTGTCGGCTGAAATTTGAGAGAAGGGAGAGGTACTTAGTTGTTATTAATACCTGTAGACTTGTCAAATGAATTAACTGGTTCCTATAATATATGTATGTCTAATGCCAATGTTCCTACTCAACGTGGGTGTAATTATGGGAGGAGATACCAAAATTATTTACTCAGAGGAAATGCGTTCTCTTGAATCCCAAGTCAAGAAGAACTTCCTACAAAGGATAATAGGTGTGCCGTGAATAAGTTATATTTAAGGATGAGGAAACAGGGAGTGTGGTGGGACGTAAAAGCCGTATGAAGGAAAAAGGAGCATTTCCTGATTACTTAACTTCCAGATTGGTTAATGTCACTTCTGGTAAGCTGTGAGTTGGTTTTGGAGGGAGTTTTTGAGGGTCTCAAATTATCTCCAACACCCCCTGACTTCTGTGAAATTATAAACTCCCATCAGAAACAAATGTCTGTTTACCTGTTGCGTTAGTCAGCTCCATACTACTATTCTAATATTTCAGCAAAAGTTTTATTTCACCCCCCTCCCAAGCTATTAACCTTGAGTAGTTTTTAATCAGTGCAAGCTCTAAGTCTGTGTTAACAACTGTAAATATATTCCTTTTTATTTTTATACCCTTGCTTAAAAGTGTACAGATAATAACATAACATAGCTGTTGGCAGGAATATTTATCTGTTTAAGATTCCAGAGATCCATTGATACTGTTTTAGCACCCAGTAAAGACTTAAAAAGTAAAAATATTCTGAATTTTAAGTTTTAAGTTAAGAAAAAAAAATCCAACTGAAAAAGAAGCAGAAATTAAACTCCAACAGCTGTTTCTAAGGTTGATTTTTTTTATTATTTTTTTTTAACCAAAAAATATGGCTTCTGCCACCTTTTTAAGAAACTTTGTTTTGATACCAGAAAGACTAAAAGAGTACTTATATGACATCAATGCTAGCCCTGTCCTGAAAAGAAAACACTAAAACCCTTCCCACTTGGCAGCAGTATATATGGAATGGTGTATCTCCACTTACATTATAATTCAGAGGTCCTTCCTCCGCTTGAAAGTTTCCAGGATGTTCAGGCTGTCAAAACTTGTTCCAGGAATCTCTTCAAATGGATTTGATTGCTGTTCAGAGCTACTTTACTTGGCCTTTTCCTCTTTTCCTTAATTCATATTCCTTGGAAACCATAAGAGCCACAAGCCTCTGATGTTACCTGGTCTTCACACACAGCCTTAGTGACAAACCGCATCGACCAGTTCTTAAGTCCAGGCGTTCAGTACTTACCGTGATTGCTTCAGATGTTACACATTGCTCCCTCTGGAGTATGACTGTTTCCTTTCTTCTTCCTTGCTACTCACATAAGTAATTAAATCTCAGAACACTTTTTCTCTCTCAGCTGCAACCACCTCCTTTACCTCTGGATGTCACACCCACAGTGGTGTTCACCAAGCCACCAGAACCTCTCTCAGAGTGGCCTACATCCCAACGCGGCACCTGCCAGTCGCACCTTCACCACAGAAAAGCATCAGCAGCTGCTTTCGTAATCCCTTTGGAATGCAGCGGTCATGGTTCCTAAGTGACTAAGGACTTAACATTGTCACCGGTGTTTTTCCTAGCCTGATTCCACCCACCCATCATCCAAAAGGGTTCAAAATATTTGGTTCCTCCTTTTCCCTTGTTTCACAGCCTTGAAATTGCAGTGTAGTCCACTAACTTTCAGAGAAAAAAATACTCTTTTTTTTTTTTTTCCTATTCATCTCCTTAATAATTTTATCCATTGTTCAAGTATTGTGCTATTGTGTCCTCGGGGTAACTATATTGCTCCTTAAAGCTTGTGTTGTTGCTACTCTTTACTAGAAAGAGATCAGTACAACTTCCACATAAAACCCGGCAGAATCCCTTCTGTGAGTCCGCATCCAAGTAGTCATGCCTTTAATTAGACACATTAATTTTATGTGTGTGTGAAGTGTTGCAGGGAAAGGGTGTTGCCTTCCCTTCAGTTCCTGTAGAGATGCAGTTTACAAGCTTCTCTCCTTTCAGCTCTCGTAATTCTCTTGGCTTTAGCATACTCTGGTGGTTTTCACGCACACATGAGGTGTAAAGAGAAGGCATTATGTGTAGATCCGCGTCCTAAATCCAAGGCTATGCTTGAGCTTGAACTTCAATTGTTTGGTCTACACGATGAGACTTCTTGGTGCTGGTGAGCCTTGAGGAACGTGAGGAGAAAAAGAGGGGGTACCACTGTGGGTGACTTGTACATCCTCACTGTAGCTCATCTCGTTATACGTCCAGTAAAGTCTTGTACCAACATCCTGTGGGTGGATAAGTAGTGGCTGCAAGTCCCCTCCTGAAGCAATTGTGGAGGCTATGAGGACAGAAGAGGTTTATAGCCAACAGGAACTTGAGCTGCTCATGTAAGAGTGAGGAGTCACTACGGCAAAGCACAGGTGCCCTGTGCTGTGTGGTGGAAGGAGGCAGGGGGACACAGAGCTGGGTCCAGGCACTTGTGAAGGTGTTACTGGCTTTCTGGCCCAGCAGTCCAAAGTGCAACAGAGCAGTAGCTTTACTTTCCATTCACTTCACCGATACAGATTATTTATAGTCAGGGATTGACTTACTTATGTACAATTATCAGCCATAAACCAAGTCAGTCACTGGATTACACCTAGTTCGCTTGTTCTTGGAACCCAGCTTTTGACCCATACCTACCCTCCCATAAAGGGTTTAAAAAATCTTGGCTAAACTTGAACTCTGAAAGATGGCTTCCTGGCACACAATATAGTGAAGAATTCCTAACTCTTCTCAAGTCGAAATACCCTTAGCCTTAAGGAATCCCTTTGATTCCTGAGGAAGATTATTATTTTTTTTTTTTTCAGCAAGTGTAAAATACCAGCATGCAAAAATATCATGTGTGTTGAGCTGGGCAATTATCTCAATGTGTTTGTCAAATGCCTCTCAAATTGGACACTACCCAAATTCCTTTTGAACCTTTCCTATGCCTCATTAGGTCACTGTGATTTGCCAAAAAAGGAAATATCAGGACAGACTTTGCAGCAAATGACATAAATTGTGCAACTCATCCTGGCTGTTTCTAGTATCACAGTTGCAGTAACAAGAAATGCTGCTTTGAAGGTCCACTGTATAAGGCTTTGAATGTGTAAAAATGAGTTTATGAATGTTTGTGTTGAGACACCTGGAGCCAGAAAGAATGACTTCCGAAGAACACCAGACAAAAGTCAAACAGTCTGTGAATAGAAGGTAAGGATGCTCTTTTTAATAATAAGGACACACACAACAGTAACTGAGAATCAACTATTCCTCAATTTATTTAAAATTACAATGTAAAATTTTAATAATATGACATTAGTAACCCCTTATCACAGGAAGTAAGGATTTTGTTTCAGTAATTTTCCCATTGTTTACTTATACAAGATTTCTTATGGCATTTTGTTCAATTTATACACACGCAGACCATTCGTTGTTTATCTTCACGTTAGTCAACCACATTTATCATCTTAAAGGTCTTGATATTTGCAAACTTATCACAGGAGAAATTAACAAGTAGATGTTTGGGACCCGCCTCAAAAGGGGTGATTTTAAACTTCGTACTGGATTGCTCACCGGCTTTCAGTGGTGGTATGCTAAATATAGGGAAAAAAAGGGAAAAATGTAAGCTGAAAACAGGCTTATGCATCATGCTTGAGTTTCTTCACTCACTATCTCCCATCTTAAGTCAGAATTCCTATCAGTTCAGAGTGGGATGGCCATGAAAAGACCGTGCCAGACTTGGTTATCTGATAGGTATTTAAATGCTCAAACCCATGCATTAAGATCTCTGACAAATACATTATGCAGTGACCCGGGCAAAGGGGGACATACTATAGCATATGAGATAAAACTTCATGCAGAACAGGGGGTGTAAAGCACATCTTGAATTATTATTAGAAAAGAGTAATCTGAGATCATGAAGAATATTGATACATATTAACACATAAGTAACTCCTGAACTAGAATAGATTATAGCACCAAGAAAACCTCAGTGTTTACACAGCAGGAAATTCTGAACAGAAGTCAAAATGTTTTATACCAGTATATTTTGTAATTCTTGGAAGCTCATGTGTACGGTTTTTCCCAAACAACTCTACCCTGTCATATTGTCTTGCCTTGCCTGAGGATAAAGTTGAATGGAATAGACAACATGGGGTTGCTAAATTCCCTCTGGAGAGCTTATAAATTATGGGATAGACCATTCCTAGTTACTCAAGTGCAAATGGCAATGTTAAGTTGCTGTGTATGTTTGTGTGTGTGTTCAGTTGAAGAGCACCATCCCACATCACAGGCATTTTTTTAGAAATAACTCCATTTGCTAGCATACGTCCAAATTTGTGTGATATTTTGTATATGTATAAAAATAAGGGATGGTGTGAAAATTTAACTTTTCTGTTTCAGTTGTGAAATACTGAAGGAAAAAGAGCAAGAAAAGACACAAAATCATCAAAGCATAACAATAGGAACCTGGAATCTATAGCAGGAACCTACTTCATTCCATTCTTCCCATTCACCATCTAATAGTTTCTTGACTCTTTATTAATCTCCTCAGATAACTATTTTGTAGGGTTCTGAAAGCAGAGCTTGGAAATCAGTGTACCTGTAGGTCTTGTTTTGGAGAACTTTTTTTTATTAATTAAAAAACTGAGCCCAACCCAAACTTGTATTGTAATAGTCCCCATTTTTCCTAGGCTCTTCCTGCCTGTCTTGTGGATTTCAGCTTTGTTCAAGTTCCAGGCCTTAGTAAAGTAAATTCAGTCATTTAAGGAGTACCTGTGGTCATGGTTTAGTCTGTCCTTTGAAAGCTATCCTCCTTAGTTGTGATTTATTGTGTCTGGAAGAGCTATGCACAGAGCATATTTGGGATTGTTTCTTTCAGAGGTACCACCCTTTGAGATTACAACCTGTGTCTAAACCATCTGTGTTCATTTTTGTTCCCAAAGCTGGGACACCTGTGCATCTACTTTTTATAGGTACATCTACCTGTTTGATGTGATACCCAGATTGGCATCTGCAGCCAGCTTAACAAAGTGGGGGAAAAATATCCCAGTTACAATATTGCTATAATTTGGGTATAGTATGGGCAGAAACAGTCATGTATCCTGCTGCTGGGCCTATGATAAGGATGGGAACATTCAGCCCATCTGGCCTATAGCTGCATAGACAGCCTCAGCAACGTTTACTGCATGGCTAAGCATATATTTTACTCTGGAACTGTGGGGTCTTGCTAGATAGGCAGGAAAACAAGTTCTGTCTGATTATGACAGCAATTATTTGCCCTCCCAAACTATGGAGCCAAAGCCCAAGTTAGAAAAAGAGTTAGTTCAAAACTGTGTCCTTCATTATGAGATGTGACATTGACTGGCTTCCCAAGTTACAGCAAGAAGAAAATGTTTTCTCATCCCACTGTTTGGTTCCAAGTCATCCATGCATAGGTTCTTTATCTCATGTATCTTTAATAGCAGGAAGGAGGCATTTCTTGTACTTACTCTATCTCAAGGATTCCTCTGAGCAGGTCACTGCCTTCTACCTGCATCATGCAGTTTGACACTTCTGTATCAATGGGATTGGTAAATGTCACTTCCACATCCACTTCTCTGTTCACTTTCGCTTCACCAAGTATCTGTGCAAAGAAAATGCTTGAAAGGTCAGGTTCTCAGTATTCTTTTATATTGGAGCCTCCTCGGTCATCAGATGAGGAGATATTAAGAGAGGCTGTAATGGACCATGGAGAATGTGAGCAGAACCTCTCTTCCAGGGAAGAAAGTGCTTATAAGGGCTCATTTTGCCTTTTCTTTGTCATTGCAATTAGAGCAAAGGGACAGCAATTTACCTCTATGTCGATGGTAGGATTGTCCAGGGTGATGTCTCTCTGCACTAGCACTTGAATCCCGCCTTCTACATGACATAAAGCTGTTACCTCGATCGTGTTGTCTGTAGTTAACTGCTGTTGATATTCAGTATATTGTATATTAATGGGAAATTGTTTCTCTGGAAGAAAAAAAAAAAAGAATTAATACATGCTTTTATAAGCCCACTGAGTTTCACACTGAATATTAGTATTTTACTTCTATGCTGTGTCTGGGACTGGGAAGGCCTTCAGCCATCACTGCCAAACTCAGTTCATGCAAATCTACCAGTTTGCTGTAGAGAGTGAGTGATTTCTTCAATGTTATCCCTCCTTCATTCCCTACTACTATATTGCCTGGCTTGTTTTCCTCCAGATTGCTCTGAAAGATAGGAAGGCTGGAGTTAAAGGAGTTTACCAGTGCCACCCCATCTGTAATGGGACACGCTTTGATAGCCCTCATCAGCCTGTTTGCTCATGATATTATGAAATGCTCTGACGTCTTTACATTTCTTTTCTCTTTCCAGCCCTATCTGCTTTTTACTATCATGTGTTTGTACAGTAGTTTACATGCTGTAATTCAAATCAAGGAATCTCTTCTGCCTGTGGGACTGTGATGCCATCAGGCATATGAACTCTGTCTTCACCGAGAGTCCAATTCCTAATGCTTTAGGAAAGCTGGTAGATCCCAACTCCAGAAGTCAAACTACACACTAAATAAATGAAACATTATTTCTGCTTCTCACTAGGGACTCAAAGCCCAAGATTAATACAATATAGTATCAGTTGTGAATCAATGATCTTTCAGCTCACTTTAGAGATGCTGATATATCTATTATCCCATGCTCCTACTGGTAACTTAATTTCATCTTTCCAACAATACTCTCATTTAGGTAGAGAATTTCTTCCAAAAGGTTATCGAACTCCATCCAAAAAAGAATTAAAAATCTTAGATCCTTTACTCCTCAACAGTTCCTTAATACAAACTTTCTTTTCTGTGGAGCTTAGCAGGACATTTCAGCAATTTTTATTCCTCACACTTTAATTCTATTCTGCTGTGCTAATGCATCTGGTTTCTTGTTTCTGCTGTTATCCGTGTCCTACTACCTTTCGTTAAGGCCTCTCATAACTGAGCAGAACACATTTAGTTGGAGTTGATTTCTATGCTTTTATGTTGTCCTTATCTTTTTTAATGCGATTTTTTTAAGTGAAACTTCATGTTTATTCAGCATCTTCTTTTCACTCCCGAGACAGACTTTCCAAAATGTGAATAGTACTTGAGGAAAATGGTGTGAAATATGCCTTTTTAATATGTTTATAAGCACAATGTAATTGTTTTCAGCCTTTTCTGCATAGAAATTTCAGACTGCAGTGCTAGAGGGTTTTTTTCCCCGAGTTCACAAGCTTCTAATGCCCATTTACTGGTAAAACAATTATACGATTGTGATTAAAAGTTATTTTAAAAATTACCTTCTTTAGGAGACAGTGTGACAGACATGGAGTCCTTCCAGATCTCACGAACTGGTCTTCTAGTGTACACGGTGCTCCAAGCCGTCATATTTACATGAACAGTCTTAACATCAGACTGTAAGTTTTCAAGAACCAGAATTAGATTGAGGTCTTTGCCGACTTGTAAAGGCCCAGCCACCTTGAACTTCCCTGCGATGTCAGGCTTCTGCTCGATTTCCCGCGGTGTTGGTGCTGTAGGATCAAACTTATCCTCAAGTCCCAGCTTCTTACGGGCTTTTTTAAAAATGTCTCTCTCTTTTTTAGAGCCTGTCAGGGAGAACCACAAAAATTATCCTCAACACTTAACATTCATCTCTTATTTTACGTGACTGCTAGAGACCAGCCAACAGAACACAGTGTCTGCTCTTAGGGATGAACAGAGCCTCTGTTTTCCACAGCCACACCTCATTTTCTGGCTCTGCAGTCAGTAGTGTCACTGCCCCTCTAATAGCATTTGTTTGTAATGTAAGATCTTCAGTCCAAAGTTGCTTACTATTCTGATTTCTATCTCTTTTAATGGTTGTAATATTTAGAAATGCAAATTCTTATTTGCTATTACAGAAAAGGCCCCTAATCTAAGGGAAGCTGAGGGCATGGTGTGGTGGGTTGACTCTGGTCAGCAAGTGCCCACCCAGCTGCTCGCTCCCTCCCCTTTCCTGAAGGATGGGGAGAAAACAGAAGGAAGGGGAGAAGACTTCTGGATTGAGATAATGAGAGTTTAACAGGGAAAGCAAAAAGAGGAGGACATCCGTGACTTGGCATTGGCAGGCAGATGTCCAGCCACCTCCTGGAAAGCAGGGCCTCAACATGTGGAATGGCTGCTTGGAAATACAAACACCCCTGCCCCTTTCCTCCGCCTCTTGCTGAGATTTTATTGCTGAGCATGAAGTTCCATGGCACGGAATATCCCCTTGGGTCAGGTGTCCTGGTTGGGTGCCATCCCAGCCTCTCACCCACCCACAGCCTTCTCACCACTGCAGGGAGGGAGAGGGAAAGCCTTGACACTCTGCGAGTGCTGTTCAGCAATAGCCAAAACATCAGCGTGTTATCAAGGCTTTAGCAGGGCAGCTATGAAGAGAGTTAACTCCATCCCGGGCAGAGCCAGTACACAACAGAAGCTTGTTATTTGGGCTCTAATTTATCATGCCTTTCACCCTTCTGATATATATTTCCATTAGCAGTGTCCATTCTTTGCATTTGCAAATCCAATTCGTGTTTGTAATTTTTCTTTCCACACTATCAAACCCAAAGGTCTGACAAGTTTATGTGCTGTTTGACCCTTTGAAAGAGTTGCCTTTCCTGGGCTCAAGTGTTGATTTAGCTTAGGTTTCTGTAACAGGCCCTTCATCTGGCTGACAAATAACCGGGCTGTCGGGTAATTCTCACAAAGCAGAGGCAGTCAGTACCCATTAGTGATAGGCAGGTAGAACAGCGAATGCTTTATGCAGAGATATTTGGACCTGTCATATTAGGTCCTAAAAAGCAGCTCCATATGAGAAAGAGCAAGGCAGAATTTTTTTATTCTTTACCTTCTCTTCCCTTTTCTACCAGAACTGAATAAACTGAGTGTAAATTTTGCTTTTACTTTATAGACGCAAAAAATTTCCCGCTAGGAGACTCCTGTCTTAAAGTTTGCATGCGTTTGGGAATGAAGCAGCTATGCAACCAGAAGAACCAGTGTTTGTATTTACCTTCTTCGTATTTGTAATCATTGGTGACATCTATGCGATCATCTCTGCCGACTGCCTTTGTGCTGATGAATTGGCCAATTGTGGTAGACTGCGAAAATATTAATGTCTTCTTTCCCGTTGCAGTGTCATAATTCCAGTACATGCAGTCTGCATTCACTTCCGCAAACACAAACGGGCAGTCGTAGTCCAGATCTACGTCTCCTTCTTTGATGGCTGTCCGTGAGGCAGGACCACACTGATAAATTCCTATGGCATGAAGAAAACATAATTTAGACCTAATCAAGTCTTTGACGGTAAGCAGATCACTAGACAGATATTTGTTAATGATTACTTAATTGCCCCGTGCTGTTGTCCCATTCTAGCTCTTTCATCCACATAGACCCCCATACCAGGCCAATCAACAATGTATCTTCTGTTTATTCTGAAGGAACACTTTGATTTATTTTATAGTATCCCTTGATTTTTCGATAGATCTGGATGCGTACATTGGAAATATAGGAATTGCTGTGAAAGACTGCTCCTAGAAGTCTAGTTTGTTTCTTGGCATCCACAGCTGATCTGAGGCTTTTCTAATATGATAGATAAGATATTCTCCCCTCTCTGCCACTCTATGTCTGAGCAGGATGAGAAATCATTTTTACAATGGTTTTACTTTTTCTTTTGTTTCCTTCTCTCTAAAAGTAACCGACTTCTATAATTTGTCAACATTATTCCTGAAATAAACTCTGTGTACCTTCACTTTGTTCTTGGGGAGTTGCATCCAGAATTTGCCATCCGCTGTATGAGGCTCCCAAGTCACTGCGGGAAAACCAGCTTTCATTCCAGACGTGGAAATTCCTACATGCAAGAATGAACAAAGTAAGATACTAGTATGTCTTTCTAGTTTCCTGTTTGCATCCATTTATCATCCATCTTAGTCAAATGTATTAAATGCCTTAATTAGCATAGGTTCTTATCTGAGGCTGACCACTTCCACTCTGATCCTGACTATATTAACTAGACAGGAGCTGAAGGTTGCATTGTGGAACAGATGTAAATGTTCAAGGGCAGAAAGCAAAAAGCCTATTTTTCTCCAAAAGTTCTGAGCACATGCGCTTCCTTTGTTTTAGCTGTTTTTCTTATAGCACAATACTACAGTTATACTTATTGCTTGTATCTAGAATGGGTCCAGAACAAGTAGGGGAGTAACCAAGGCAGCCAGTGAGAGACTGCACCTGTTCTTTACTGAACACAAGCTGCTTTGAGCTGCATTTGATGCTTAATTAATAGTGGCAATAATGATAATATTTTCACTGTAAATGATGTTACTGAAAAGGAAAAAAAAATTCTGAGCACGTGCGCTTCCTTTGTTTTAGCTGTTTTTCTTATAGCACAATACTACAGTTATACTTATTGCTTGTATCTAGAATGGGTCCAGAACAAGTAGGGGAGTAACCAAGGCAGCCAGTGAGAGACTGCACCTGTTCTTTACTGAACACAAGCTGCTTTGAGCTGCATTTGATGCTTAATTAATAGTGGCAACAATGATAGTATTTTTCACTGTAAATGATGTCACTGAAAAAAAAAAAAAGGCAGGGAAGCTGGTTCTGTTGAACTTTTGCAATTTAACACGAGCAGTTTTTGAAGAATAGTTCCAAACTAAGTTAAGTCCTACTGTTTGATATATCCACTCTAATACCATAAATTTTCAGTCATCTGTGGCATCTTTCCTGCTCTGGCTTCAATTTGCTATTGTAACTCAGGTCATAATTCTCTGCTTAACTGAGAGTGAAAACACAGAGTTTTGTAGTAGTATTTTGTAGTGTTTTTTTTATTGATCCTGTGTGGGTGTAGCTGTTTTTAAGACAGTTTTTAAGAAGGTAACAAAGCATTTGTCATTAGAACATCTACTCTGCACCTGAAGACTCTATAGGCATTGATAGGTCCTACTGTTAATATCGTAGAGCCTTACCATATGCTGTCACCTCCCCTCTCCAAATGATTTCCAGAAGCATCGTAAAACTCATCTACACGCAGATTTCCATCTACATCGTGGGCAGAGCTGAAGTTTGTGATTGTACGAGTGGGAATCCCCAGACATCTAAGCGCTAGAGAGCGAATGGAAAAAACATAGTCAGAAAGCAGTATTTCTGGAATGGGAAGTTTTATATAACACGCTAATGTCTTGAAAGACTTTCATGTGGGAAGTATTGTTCGTGCTTCTTTTAACAGAATCTGTGCAGTGTCAGTTATGTGCATGGCATGAAACGTACCTGTAGTCAATACTGCTGCAAAAACCCAACATTGTCCATATCTAACAGGTCTGAATCCTGATTTCTTCCAGCTTTGCAGGATTTCACTGCTTCCAGTCCAGCTGCTTGGGCTTTTCCCATCGTCATAATTTCCACTCCAGTTTCCTAGCACCACCCCTCGGTCATCATTGGCATTGACCTGTAAAAATAATTAAATTTATGATGAGATAAATTAAAGAGTTTACAACAGATGTAGGAGCAGTAGGGGAGCAGGCAAGTGAAAAGCCTTGAATGACATTTTAGTGGACAAAAGTCACTGTTTCATGCAGCTGGCCTTCAGAAAGAAGCCTTAGCTTTTCAGGGAAATGAAATATGTGTGCTCTTAAGAAATGGAGAGCATGTAAACACTGTTTCTCCCACCCAAGTTCGGTAGCACCAGGCAAAGGGAAGGCAAACACCAGTTTTCAGTGAACCTTCCTGACATGAGGTGGCAACTTTGCCACTGTATGATTGAATGGCATCATCACAGCATATCATGCAGCTAAGCTCTCAGAACGTGCCTGCACCATGATGTAGTGAGCCCTCAGAAATTTTACATTAAATTAGGGGAAGTGGCTGACACAACAAATGGGGCACGGTCACCTGGAAAATCCTGGGTAATGTGTCAACAGAAACCATAGAAAGTTGAGGAAGAAAAGGTGTAGATTTCAGAACTTGGGGCAGGATGACCCCAATTGGTACAGGCTGGGTGAGCAGCAGCCCATCTGAAAAGGGCCTGGACGTTACAGCAAATGCCAGGTTGAACTTGAGTCAACAGCGCTCCCTCATCATAAAGGGAAAGCCCATGCCAGGCTACATTGAGAAAAGCGTGACCAGGAGATTGATGGAAGCTGTTAACACCCTTTAATTATCCCTAGTGAGGCTGTGCCAGGAACCCTGTCTCCAGTTTCGGGCTCCTCAGTTCAAGGGGACACTGAGACGCTGAAGAGGGCCCAGGAGGGAAGGCTGCCAAGATGGCCAGGGGCCATGGAGCACACAGTCTGCGAGAAGTTGAGAGAACTGGGCTGGTTCAGTCTGGTTAAGAAGGGGATAAGGGGAATGTAACAGCAGCTTTACAGCTACTTGAATGGAATGTACTAAGATGTCAGAGTCCAATTTTTCTCTGTTCTGGCAGATCGTATAACAAGAGGCAACAGCAGGAAGCTGTAGCTTGGGAAAATAATACTTGACATTAGAGAAAAAATCCTTGCTGAGAGGGTAGTGCAGCTCTGGACCAGTCACCAAGAGAGGCCATGAAACCTCCATCCTTGGAGATTGTCAAGGTGGCCTTGACAAATCCTTGGCTGAGCTGATCTAGTACCGCTCCAACTCCACTTCAAATTGCAGGTTGGACTAAAGGTCTCCAAGGGCCTGATCCCTCAACATACCACCCTGTATCTTATACTTTTGGTTTGACTTCGGCTATTCAAGTGATAAGTATCAGAAATCACTCAGATGAGATAAATCTAGTGGCCTGAGATGGGATGGCCACCTAGGTGTTTCTCTGGCCCGCATTTCTGCTGCATACAAACAGTGGCTGAAAATTTTCTGAGAAGTGTCTTCATTCTTATGTTCACTGACTACTGTAAAAGAACAGTTAGTAGTTTGAACTTTTTGAACATGTTGCTTACCATTGCGCTGAGAACACGGCCCACGTATCTGGGGTCATTTCGGTGAGATACATCTGTGACAGGATCCTGTCGATGGCTTAAGCTTCGATCCAGCATGGAAAGGCAAATATCAAGAATATCTTCTTGAAACTATGTAATAGAAATAAGTTAGTGTTTTGGAAACACAGATTAGCTCTACAAAACATCAGGATAAGTGGAGCCACACAGTGTTTAATGTTTTTTTTAATGACCAAATGAATTGCTGTAGCTCAGCCAGGAGTTACCATCTAAAAATGCGGCCTCAACAAACTGTGAAGATTAGAACTCAAAGTGCTTCTCAAAACTTGGAATCTGTGGATTTAAGGCCAGGACTCTGCCCCTCAGCATTGCTACAGTACTTTACTACCAAGCAGACACTAAGGTTCCTGCTGGCTGCACCTCTGAGTCCCAGGTCATATCACTGACTAGTCAATTATAAATCCTCATGCTAATCAGTGTTACAGGGCTTGGCACAAGTTCTAATTTCAACACCAGATTCCTGCTCTTCAGAGGTGTATGACTGCAATGAACTTGAAATAGCAAACAAGCCCTGGTCACCCAGTTCATGTGAAAACCAGAGCAGGGAGTCTGGTGTTTCAGCGCCGCATTTACCTGGCCAAAGTTCCATCCAAAGCTGCTGATGTGATTCTTATTGCCCGCAAAGATGATGCCAAACTCTTCTAGGACATATTCTTCACACTCGGCCTTGTTAGACATGAACACGTCATCACCTGGAAAGCCAAAACAGAGGTATGTGCAACCACAGCAGGCAAAATAAAACACAACCTCAGGAGCCTTGGTGCCCATCAATAAGAATGCTTGCAGATATCTACCCTTTTCTGTTCTTGCTGTTACAAAGAGATTGTGAAACTCAGGATTTCCTATAATTAGAGAAAGGGGTGGGGGGTGTCTGAGTGAAGACAGAGGTATGACACTGTCAAATCTGGGAGAAGATGGCAGCTGGTAGATATGTCTTGTCTTTTGGCGTAGAGCCCAGACATGCTCTTCTAAACTTGTGCAGAAGTCGGGAAGCTCTGGCAAAAGCAGAACTTAACCTCCTTAAGCAGAACTTCATCTTTTAAGGCAAGGAGCTCTCCAGTAAGTACATGATACAGAGCTGATTTTATGTGCCAGAAGGTCTTAAGAAACAGTTAAACCCTTTTCTCACTGATACATTACGTGGTGCACGTTCAGGTCCTGTATTAAAGAAGTACAGATCAAATGGAGAAGCTGCAAATGAAGCTACAAGCATTTTAGTTCTTTGAGGGAAAAGTCAACATGTTCATACCTGAGGACCACGGGTTAAAGAGCAAAACGAAGGTGCCAAGGCTTGTTGGAGAAGAGCTGCCACTTTGAACGCTCAGCTTGTAACGTCCAATGATGGCATTAGGTGGGCTGGAAATGGAGATGCTCACAGAGTTGGAACTGGTAGACTGTAGGACTGCACTCCAGCCGTCCTTGCTCACTGTGCTGGAGACACCAAATGTGGCCTGGGTCCTATTCACCTTTGAGGGTCTTGGACCTTTTAAGGAAAATAAACAACATTTTTATCTGCAGCTTGCTGAAATAGAGATTTAGTTGTCAACAAGCTCAGCAGAGATGTGACTCTCCCCTCGGATGAATTTGTGCCATACGTTGGAAACTGAAGGGAGCTATCACTGCTGGCTGGGATGGAAGTAATGCAACAAACCCCTCAAGCAGTTCCACAGCTGTGTGAACCAGCGTGTTGGCTCTGAAGCAGTATCTTGCTGCCCTATAGTGTATATTGGGCCAAAAAAACATCACAAGGCAGTGTCACCCTTTCTGTGAAAGAAGATGGGAGCCATACCTGTTTCTGCGATGAACGTTAAGTTTTGCTCAGGCTGTTCTGTTCCATTGAAGGTGACAATGAAGGCTTGTCCTCGCCTCACAACCAGCTCTTTGCTAGAAAATTTACTTGTGTGGTGTTCTTTTCCATTTTCTCTCAGATGCCAGTTGGTACTTGGCTGCGATGCAGCTACAAAAAAGTGAGAGAGCAAGAAAACTTGATGGTACGTCCGAGGGGGAAGGAGCACAGACACACTTTATACGGAGGAAGAAGCACAGCCAAAACAAAGAATTGCATGTCACTTTCTACAGGTAACTAGTACCCATGAGAGATTTCCACCAAAAATAGAAATAATTTATTTGTGAGCATTATTTTTTTTTGAGAGAGACTCCACCTCGCGTAAGCTGTTAGAGATTATCTGCATAATTAAGTATAGAAGGAGTAGAATATCTGGTACTAAAGAAAAATCAGGAAGGCATCTAAGAGGAGAGAACCCTGATAATTGGATTCTTGTGAGTTACTTGGGTAAAGAATCTGGCTGAACTCAGCTAATTCTTTCAAGGTGTCATCCATTCCAAGACATGGTGTTATCCTGACAGAGATGCAGCCTTGCTGCCTCTGAATAAAAAATAAAGAAACCTGATTCAGCCAAGAAACACTTCTGCATTTAAATCATGTAAACCATGATGTGTTCTCTAGCTCTGTTTCCATGTCATGTTCCTCTGATTTAACTGACAGCTACTCTCTGTTGGAAGCACCTAACAAGAACGCGTTGATGGACATGGAGCTGTCATTTGGCAGCAGGAGAGATGGCAGAATTGGAGAGAGCTCGCTACTAAAACCATGTATGTGAAATAATATGTTGCAGAAAGTTCTTCTGTATGAACTATGGCTTCAGTCAGAGACTGAAAAACAGCATCTGAGATTGGTTTGGCTCTGACATCATCAGAGCGTATGGAAGGTTCTGTAGTAGAAGATGGCTCCATGGTTTAAATTAAGTGCAGAAGTACAGAAGAAAAAATTAACTTTGGATTTTTTTAATTCCTAAGGGCACTGCGTGTTTTTTAAAAATAACTTTATTATTCTATATTCTCCTCTTTTCCACACCCTTTCCTCCCCTCTTCCCCACCCACCCCCACCCCCCCTAGAACAGTGGGTTGGAGGTTTAAAAGTTTTCATTACTGCACTTCATACTGGACTTTGAATTGTTTTAACTGAAACATTTTAAAAATAATGCAAGTCTACGAGCTGCCATCTTGATAAACCAAAAGCATGCTAATGTATCAATTAAAAAATACACACAAAAACCTGGCACATCTGTAAGCATTTCAGAATCACAATTGGATTTTGACATTTTAAAAAAGAAAAAACACGAGTAGCTGGCAATATTCTAGATGTACTTTGTAATGTAATGTAGTAAATTCATTAGCATGCATGGATTCAACATTAAATTTCAATACCTGAATTATTTTCAGTTGCTGAATTTTTATTTTCCACGGAGACCAGTATGACTTCATCAGAACTGATAAAGCAAAAAATAGATAAAACTTGTTCCTCCCCCCCCCCCTCCCCCCCCCCCCCCCCCCCCCCCCAAAAAAAAAAAAAAAAGAGGGAGAATAGGGAAGAGTAAGAGTGTGGTCCTTACTAGTGGAACACATCTACCCTGTGCCATTATTGAGTAAAAAATCATTATCCCATGTCCAAACAGATTTATTACTGTAAAGATATTATTATTTTTTTGATCTTCAGTTTGTCAAGTTTAGACAAGCCTTGAAATAACTACATTAGTAGTCTTAGCAACGTAGTCACAGCTCAAATTGAGGGAACACCTTTTTTACAGTATCGAGGTGAGCAGCACGTGCTTTGATTTTTCAGGAACGTGCCTACTTCAAAAAAAATCTTCATAAACTTAGCAATGAAGCATATCTATTGTAGCTGGAGGCATGCAAAAGATTTCTCTTCAGAAAGGCAAGCGTTATCTGGCAAGGTTGGAAAGGCAACATGGGACCATTTTATAGTAATTATTAAACTGGGCAATTTGCATATGTATAAACATCAGCATGTAAGCCAAAAAAACCCAAACACCACAAAAAACAGACCGGGGTGGAAGAAAAATCTCCTAAATTTTTATATCCTCTCTGCCCTAACTTCAGGTTTCAACCTTCTGTGCTTATTGTAGCCTCCCTCAGGGTTTGCAATGATACCTTCTCTAAGTCCTACTTTGTTTCTTTCTCTTATGTCAGATTTGTCAGTCTCTCACTTGCACTTGTCTGACAGCTTCAAATAGCTGCAGCCTTCCCCTTCCTTCCTATTTGCAAAATACATAATTTTTACATCAGATAATATACCTGTTCTCCCAAATCTCATTCTGATAAGTTTGCTGTTCCCACACGCACAATAATTGAAAAAACACAATTCCTGTGGAAATCCTTCTCCTAACTCTTGATGGAAGAATTTTCTCTTCCTTTTTTTTCTGGGATCAAAACTCCTTAGAGAAGTAGTGATCTTTCCGTGTCCATTACAGAACTGGATATGAGGCAGGGATGTAAGAAAGTAACAAAAAGAGCACCACACAAGGGGCTTCCCACTTGCTCACCTGGGCCCATATCTGATCAATAGGTCCTGGAGCTTTCCTCTGAATGGTCTCCTCTACTTCTGTTGGCTCAAAGAACGGCTGGTGCCTTTCACTCTTTAAAAGTTTAGGTGTAAAGTTGCCTATTTGCAATATTTCCTCTGGGGGTGGAGCTTGAACCTTTGCTCCACAACCAACAGGACATGAAGATTCATTTTTTATTCATTTTTTGCTCTCTCAGTCCCTACATCCTGGTCTTGCTTCCTTGCAAATTAACATCTGAAGTTTAGACAATGTTTATCCCAAATAGTCTGGCCACTTGTTAAGAGTTTCTTAACGTATTAACATTTATAAGAATTTCAGCATTTAGGTACTTTTCTTTCTGTTATAATGTTAAAATTATAGGAATAGTATAACTCCTTCTTGCACTGCATTTGTTTTTAATTTGAAATACTTCATGAGCAACATTTACAACTGCTTTTTCTTTAAATTAATTCACTGAATCCATTTTTCCCCCTCACTGCATTGTAGCAATTGCAAAACAATGAGTAAGCTATTGCCTCTGCCCCAGACGTAATCAGGTCAAATTTAAAGAAAAGATTTTTTTCATTCATCACACAATTACTGTTTAACAACGTTAAATAGACAAGCGCTTCATGTCGTATTTGTGTGACACGCTACAGCGATGACAGGTAAGTAGATTTGTGACTTGTGATAAAAAGCTGTCATTGTTTTCAGGTGGTACACCACTCTTTGTTTGACAGGATCTCTCTGCACATGCAACCGGCAACGCTAATTTGTGCACAAAAATCTTTCACTTCAAAGACAGTGATTTTTGCTTAAGCTTTGCAGGTGGCTCCGCTTTCTATTAAGAAAGAGGCTAATTCTGACACTTTTATGAAACGACCTGTAAAATTGGATGTACTCGATGCACAGTCTTAAGGACGCCTCTGAGTGATACCCATTACGCTGGCCTGGCCACAGCTACACGCATTCCCAAATCCAGAGTTTTCATTGGCTGGGCTCAGTATTCAGCAGCCCCAAATTGTTCAATTTGCAGGTTTGTATCACATTTGGAAATTCTAGAATTTGAGCTTGCTCAACCCATTTCATATACAGACAAATTTTATTCATATTTCCTATGAAAAGGTGTTATTAGAAGAAACAGTGTTTAACTGGACATAATTGAGACTGCTGCTTTGAATCGCTGTTCATTAATAATATTTAATCTTAAGAGGGACCATAGATTTATGACATGCAAAGCCCCACTGTGATTTAAAATGCCAAAACTTTAATTCTTATATTTAAAATTTCTTAGAACTTGATTTTAAAATGTTAAGTCCATACTTTAGAGGTTTCAGATGTTAAGCTACGCTCTCCTACCCATACTTCTAAATTCTTGTAAATGACACACTAACAATTTTCAGAATAAATTTGCTTTAAGATTTCAGCTTATCCTTGGATACTAAGCAAACCATTTCTCTTTGACAGAAAGTTTAGTTACTGTTGAAAGCTTATCCACCAGATAGCTGTGCCACGTGTTTCACCTCTGTGTGTGTGACAGCGATAGCGTGCTGGGTATCATGCCCTATAGCCAAATGGCATAATTGGTTTTGGTATTTGATGAGATGACAGTATAGTTATAAAGAGCCTGTTATAAGAAGCAGATACAGTCCATTTATTCTGGAAGAGAACGCGGTGAGGAGAACAAGTTCCATCTGTTGCATCAGCTCCTGGTGTTTATTCCCAGCTCTGGCTAAGCTGCCTTGGAGGCCCCTGGTGTGCTTTGTTTGTAAAACAAATGAATGATACATACCAGACCTCTGGATTAAAGATTATGGGTGAAGCTTGAGAATGAGGATTCAGTTAATGACAAAAAATTAACACTAGTCAGAACATTCGTCAAGCAGAATGCGTCTGACCCAAGCAGCTTCCTGGGAGCCAAGTAGTATTTGCAGAGATTTTGCGGTGGCTGTAAATGTCAGGATTGCACAGGAAGGTGCTTGAAACGCTGGTGGATAGCAAGAGAAGATTTGTTTGGACCTCAGAGAATGAAAGTATTTTGTTTCCTGTAGCCAGAACAAGCAATATCAGAATTGTCTTTTTCAAACTGGTTCATTCATACAACTCATGATGTCCTTTTCCAGCGATACCCGGATTTCTTCCCTCGCTCCAGTAACTGTGCTAAAGAAATGAATGTACAGGAGGAGGAGTCCAGCACTGAACAGTGAAGAAATTGACTGACTCCCCTCAGTATTACTTTCTCTCCTTCTTTCTATTGTTGTTCTCTTCCCCACCAACTCTATTAATCTGCACTGATACTTGAATTCTATTAGATGTCATCTGTTAATTGTGCCTTTGTGTCAGGATGGGAAATCAGTCCCTAGAATAGCCTATCTGCTCCTTTATTCTTCCTGAGCACAGCTCTTCCTTACATACTCCCACGCTACAGCCATATGGCCACAACTCACTAGGAACCACCTCAGTACCCTGAGAAGTTTAGGCTATTCTGTCTCCTCTCTGGTTGCCTTGTTGGATAATTATGCAAGGAATTTAATCAGCAAACCCCATTCCTGCTATCTTAGATACAGGAAGGCGAGTGGTTTTCTACAGCTATGCAAGGAATTTAATCAGCAAACCCCATTCCTGCTATCCTAGGAAGGTGAGTGGTTTTCTACAGCGATACTGTAGTTGTGAACCACACTAGGGAGAGACCAGGGCACCTGGAACAATGGTATGGACTGACTCACATCAATGTTCTTCAGGACTAGAACCCCCTGATGTAGATTGGTCAAGTCCATAGGGAAAAGCACTTGGCTGAGGTCTCTTTTGGGCCCTGTGTGCTCTCCATGACATACTTCTTATTTTCTGTCTTCCTCTTCCATCTGCAGTGCCCCAAATAGCAGAGGTATTTTGAGTGGAAGCCTGCAACCTGCTGCAGCCTGAAGCCTTCCTGAAGTTCTCTGATTGTCCCTGAAGTTCTCCAAGAGCTGGACTTTGAAGCTGAACAGTCAGCTCCATATTGTCTGTGTAAAAAGGGCTACCCTGTTAGCCGGGCTCAGATCTTCTCCCTGGATCCTGGCTCATTCCAGATGGCTTGTTCCAGAGGGAGACTGGCAGTGACATTGTAGTGACACATACTAATATGTGAACTTCAAAAACTACCACGGGACCAGTATAGACAGGAATTATCCAAACTGGCAGCGCACAGACTGGGATGAACCTATGCTGGGCTCCCCAGACAGCTCCCACGTCACCACATGCGACCTGTTATTTATAGCCTATTATTCTTAAATGTATTTCCCTACCTGCCCCACTCATGCACACATCTCTTCCATTGGAATGGAGTAAAGACATTATTTGGAAGGTTTAACTTCCAGCTGCATGCTCATTAGCAAAGAATACCTCTTTGCAGGCTCCCATCACCAAGTGGCTCTGCTCATCTCTAAGAAGCCAACATGCTGTTCCATGCTGCAGGCAAGGGCTCTTAATTCTAATACACAAACAAGATGCTTGTTGGGGTGACTCACGCCTTAGTTCTAATGGCACTGAAGCTTAAAAGTGACAGACAGAAGCTGAGATAATTATTTAGAGCGTGAGACTGAAACAAACTGCTGACTCCTCAGTAGCAGTAGCGTGCTGCAGACTAGCAAAAATCATTTAAAAAATCACGCTGTGAAATTTATGGGATCTTCTGAGGTGCTCTTCCCTTTTCTTTACTCACCACCTTTTGGATTCTGTTAAAGTAGATAAATTGGAGATTGGCCCACAGATGCAGAACAACCTTCTAGGGAAAAAAGTCTGTGTATTTGCAGGGTGTGTGTTTTGGGGGGGCAGGAGGAAGGGATGAGAGAGAGAGAAAAAGCAGTTAATGTGCACACACACCTGCACACAGACCCTTACAGTTTTTTACATTAAATCACACGTGGCACTGGGGAGGAGCATCCCCAGGGATTTTTGACATCTCCAGCTAAACTTGGACTTTTCTTGGGCCCTGGGGATTTCACAAGCTGGTGCTGACCATCATCAGCAAAGAGCTGTTTGTTCGTTAAATGCTGCTATTGCTTCTTGCATTTTGTGCAAAGTTATTGGCAAATCGTTGCTTAAGAGGAAGTGTTACAATGCAGAAACAATGGGTTGGTGGTTTTTTCCCCATTGCTGTAAAAAGGTTTTTACTGCCCACTTTACCAAATCGTTCTTTTGTTAAAAAGAAGGATTTTTCCACTCAGTCCAATCTTTCAGCTTAATTACCAAATAATGTTTTGCCATTTATTTAAGCTCTGCTCAGCGGAGGAGATTTATGAGAGAATCAATAGCCTTATGCCCATTGTATGCACCTGATTCCCTCCCAGCCTACGTTCAGCTCTTTAAACATTTAGACAGTATTGCACTTAGCACATGCGTTGAGCCAGTCATTAACTAAGCATCATGAGGCCAGGCAACCAGCAGAGACTGTTGAGGGATGCGAGCACAAGCAGATCAGGTCAGTAACTTGAATTATTTCAAATAATAGTAAATAGACAAACACTGTGTCCGAAGAGTTCGTGTAATCAGTTTTCCTAAAATTGCCAGAAGAGGGTAACCGTGCCTCTCCACCTCTGTGAGGGGAAAACGATGCCTGACATTCCTCTTCTCAAGCCTTTGCTCTCTGGATTGTTGTTTTTTATTAATTTCCTGAGTTCTTCAAGCCTATGTCGGATACAGCCAGCACAGCAGGAGCTCTATGCCTGGAAGAGGTAAAGTGGCATCATCTGCACTCTGGTCTCATTATCCATTTTTTAAAGAGGTCCCAGTGAGCCAGGCCTAATCAAGAACAGGGCCACCCTTTCCAAAGGGTACTGATGCAAGATCTTTCCTCCTGAGACCTCACTGCAGGACATCCGCTTGCTCGGTCTGTATTTTAAAGTGCCTTTGCCTTTCACACTAATTTTAACGAACAGTTAAAATGGTACTGCAGTTCACTGACTCTGAACCTACAGGAAGGAATCCAGCCCATAGTCTATTCTTGGTGCAAATATTCCCATTAACACAAGATTCATTCATACCCGAACTACTCTATGATTTATTAAGTTTCATGCTAAAAGACAGCTTGCAGTTTGCCACAACTTCTTCTGCTCTA